TAATGTCCTGAAGACATCAATTAAGTCTAACTGTTCTAATGTATGATTTGGGACCTCTGTTGCCTTATTGATTTTCTGTCTCAAAGATCTATTCATTGATGTGAGTGCGGTGCTAAAGTCTCCTACTATTACTATATTCCTGTCAGTTTCTCCCTTTATGTCTGTTAGTATTTGTTTTCTGTATTTGGGTGCTCCTATATTGGGTGCATATATGTTGACAAATGTAATATCCTCTCCTTGTATTGATCCTTTTATTATACAGTGTCCTTCTTTATCTTTTTTTATAACCTTTGTTTTAAAGTCTTTTTTGTCTGATATGAGTATTGCGACCCCTGCTTTCTTTTCATTTCTGTTTGCATGCAGTATCTTTCTCCATCCCCTCACTTTTAATACACGTGTGTCCTTTGCCCTAAAGTGGGTCTCTTGTAGGCAGCATGTTGTAGACTCTTGTTTTTTATCCAATCTACCACTCAGTGTCTTTTGATGGGAGCATTTAGTCCATTGACATTAAGGTAATTATTGATAGATATATATTTATTTCCATTTTAAACCTGGTTTTCCTGTTGATTTTATATTCTTTTGTCCCTTTTTCTTTTTCCTTTTGTGTTTGATTCTCTTCTTTTGTATTAGGCTTATAGTTTTTTCTTTTTGATTTTTGTGAGTCTGCTGTATGTTTTTGATGTGTGGTTGCCCTGTTTTTCAGGTATGTTCACGCCTTCATTTATCTACTTGCGTTAGACTAGTAGTCACTTAGGCTCAAACACATTCTAGAAAAATAATTGTGATTTTCTCTTTCCTATAGCTTCTTACTACTTTTCTATTTAGAGAAGACCTTTCAATATTTCTTTTAGGATAGGTTTAGTATTGCTGTATTTTTTTAGCTTGTGCTTGTCTGAGAAATTCTTTCTTTCTCCTTCTATTCTAAATGATCATCTTGCCGGGTAGTGTCCTAGGTTGCCGATTTTTCCCTTTCCGGACTTTGGATATATCTTGCCACTCCCTTCTGGCCTGCGACGTTTCTGTAGAGAAATCAGCTGATAGCCTTATGGGGGTTCCCTTGTCGTTAACTCTGTGTTTCTCTCTTGCTGCTTTTAGAATCCTCTTTCTCATGTTTAACTTTTGATATTGGTGTAGGTCTTTCTGGGTTTATCTCGTTCAGGACCCTCTGTGTTTCCTGTATCTGCATATCTGTTTCCTTCTTTAGCTTTGGGAAGTTTTAAGCCATCATTTCTTCAAATACGTTTTCAGTCCCCTTTGCTCTTTCTTCTCCTTCTGGGATCCCTATTATGTGTAGATGGGCATGCTTTACGTTCTCCCATAGGTCTCTTGGATTGCTTTCATGTTTTTCACTTGGCTTTCTGTCTGATGTCCTGATTGGATGATTTCCTTTACTGTATCTTCCAGATCACTTATTCGTTCTTCTGCATTATTTATTCTGCTATTCATAGCTTTGGTTCTGCTCTCGTCTCAGCAAATGAATCTCCTAATGTTTCTTGACTCCTCCTTATAGTTTCTAGTTCCTTTTTTACAGTAATCTGCATTTCTATCGATAGCCTTTCTTAGTTCCTTCAGTATTTTCATTATCTCCTTTTTGAACTTGGTATCTATTAGACTGAAGAGGCCTGTTTCATTGTTTGTTCTTTCAGGGGAATTCTCTAGATCTTTTCATTGGGAGTGGTCCCTCTGCTTCTTCATTTTACTTGTATTTCTCTTGCTCTATGAGTTTAGGAGAAACAATTATCTACTGTGGTCTCGGAGGGCTATTTTTATGTGGGAGTGTCCCTGCGTAGCCTGCATGGGTTTAGTATTTTTTTGGTGCAAGGGCTGTTTTCAGTATGGATGCCTGCTGCCTCTTTCCTCAGTGTGTGCTGGCTGTTATCCCCTTGACAGGAGGTGCGACTCGTGTTGCGATGACCAGAGCCAGCACTGGCCAGTGAGTGGGGACTCCTCTTCCCTCTGTGGTTATCACTGCCCTGTCCAGGGCAGGGTCTGCTCTCTAGCTGTTGGTGTAGAAGGCCCTAGCTCTGTTTCTGATCTGCAGTGCAAGAATAGGCGGGATTGGAGCGCTCCCACTGGGAGAGGAGCCACTGAGTATTGCTGTGCTGGAGCTGTTCCCCTGTGAGTGTGTCACCTTTCACCTGCTGTGCGGGCTCACAGAGTACACTGTTGGTGGCACTGCCCTCAGCCCCACCTCAGCTCTGGGTGTGCTGGCAGTCAGCCCTGGTGCCTCTCAGGCTCTGTTTTCACAAGGCCACCAGCGCAGATCCACTGAAGTCAGGTCCCAGGACTGCAGTCGTTACATACCTGGACCCACTGTGGGAGCTGTGGATGCAGCTCAGACCCTGGCCCAGCCCCGCCCCCGCGTGTACGCGCCCACAAAGCCCACAGCTGCTGAGGCCAGACCCGTCCCAGCTGCGGGAGCACCAGCTGTCTGGTTGCTCCACAGGCACTGAATTTACAAAGTCGGCCGTGGAGGTATAAATCCAAGGTTCACGCAGCCGTGGGGAGAGATTTCAGCTCTGCTTCCTAAGTCACACGGCCTGTGGGCCTCAGCTGTGATTTCAGCCCCACCTGTGCGTGTGGGCAACCCACTGCTGTCTGCTTCTGGGGGCACAGGGCAGTGGCTGGGGCACACGAGCCTGCCCAGGCAGGAGGGGCCCGGGGTGGCCGGGGTGTGTGGCCTGCCTGGGCAGGAGCCTGTCCTGGAGCCTGCGCAGGCAGGAGCCGGCGGGTGGGGAAAGAGGCTGCGATGGCAGCCCCGCCTCTACCTTGGCCACTTAACAATGGCGCCCGGGGCTCTTCCGCAAACACTCCTGGTTGCTGCGCCCCACGCTCCAGCCCCTTCAGGCGTCTCTGCACAGCCAACAGCAGTCCTCTCCCTGGGTCTGTCCCCTAAACCCCGTATTACAGCCCCCAGCCCCCACCCATACCAGCGGACGTGCGTCTCAGGCTGGGGCACACAGGGCAGTGGCGCAACCATCCGTGTAGGTCTCTCTCTGTCCTGCCTGCCACTAACCGGCTGCTGTGCTCTCCTCCAAGCCGCTGAAGCTCCCTTTCTGTCCCGGCTGCTCTCCCCACCGGTGGGGCTTCCCTGGGTGCGGGAACCTCTCCTCTCCTTCAGCTCCACCCCCCCCAGGGGCACAGATCTCGTCCCACTTCCTCTATTGTTTTTTTCCTTTGTCCTGCCCAGTTACTTGGAGATCTTTCTTGTCCTTTGAGGTGTTTGAGGTCTTCTGCTAGTTTTCTGAGAGCATTGTTCCATTCATAGATGTATTCTTGATGTTTTTGTGGGAAGAGGTGAGTTCCACGTCCTACTACTGACCATCTTGATTCTGATCGCCAGTTTGATTTTCTTTTTTTCATTTCTCAAGTTAGAAGTTTAGGTTATTGATTTGAGATCTCTCTTCTTTTTCATATAGGCATTTATGACTATAAATTTCCCTCTAAGCACTGCTTTAGCTGAAGCCCATAAGTTTTGGTATATTGTGTTTTTGTTTTCATTCATCTCAGTTTTTTCTTTCTTTTTTTTAAAAAAATAATTATTTATTTATTTATGTGGTCGTTCTGGGTCTTAGTTGTGGCAGGTGGGCTCCTTAGTTGAGGCTCGCTGGCTCCTTAGTTGTGGCCTGTGAACTCTTAGTTGTGGCATGCTTGTGGGATCTAGTTCCCTGACTAGGGATTGAACCTGTGTCCCCTGCATTGGGAGCGTGGAGTCTTATCCACTGCGCCATCAGGGAAGTCCCCATCTCAGGATTTTCTAACTTCCCTCGTGATTTCTTCTTTGGCCTGTTGGTTGTTTAGAGGTATAGTCTTTAATTTCTATGTGTTTGTGAAATTCCCAAATTGCCTTGTTACTGATTTGTAATTTCATTACATTGTGGTTGAAGAACATACATTACATGATTTCAGTTCTTTTCAATTTATTGAGGCATGTTTTATGGCCTAACATATGGTCTGTTCTGGAGAATATTCCAGGTACACTTGAGAAGAATATATATTCTGCTGTTGTTGGCTGAGAAACAGTATATAATTAAATTTACTTGCGATTTAAAAATACCTTGTGGTGAATCTCTTTGCAAAGTAGATTCGTTTTATAAAAGTGTTACTGTTTTATTATAAAGTTGGATTTTTAAACACAGTTTGAAAAATTAAGTGAGGTATTTGGAACTTGGAAAGAATAATGACATAATATACTATATAATACTGTTATATATATATACACACATATATATGTGTGTATATATATGTATATACATATATATGAATGAAGTACCGACAGCTCATCTCTTGGTATCACCTCCATGTCACCTCTGTTCTTAGTAGATAAGAGATGGAAATCAGAATGATGGGTGCTGGTCGGAAACAATTAAGTATAATTTGTAGTTAATGATATCCGTTCTCCCCAGATAAACTAGAGGGGTGCCCAGGAAGTAACCAACCACTACCCTGCCATAGCTGGAGGACAGCACACTTTCTAAATCCTTTCCAAATGATTTTGTTAGGACTAGCGGCTTTTGGTGTAGCCCTCTCAGGAGGGATTGCTGGGGAGTCTTGGGGCCCTGGGGTGAGGGTGTAGCTGTCTCCTGTGTCTCTGAAATGCAGCTTGGAGCAGAGAGAAAAGATAAGAGTGTCGATATTGAATTGTTTAGATGAGCACTGTCCGATAGAGACAGAATGTGAACTCCGAAGCCAACCACATATGAAATTTTACATATTTCAGTAACCACATGGAAATACCAAAAAGAAACAAGCGAAATTAATCTTAAGAATATGTCCAAAGTATACTTTAACATTCGCAATCAATGTAAAAAAAAAATGAGATATTTTACGTTCATTTTCTTTTTCACGCCAAGCCTTTGACATGGGGTGTGCCTTTTACACTTACTGTGCATCTCAATGCAGACGAACCACGCGTGCCTCCCCCGCTGGACAGAGCAGGTTTAGGTAAGTAGAGAAGAGGCGATGTCCTCACCCACTAATACTGTTTTCTCCTCCCCTAGGCGGGGAGAAGCCTCTGGGGCCTCAGCGGCTGGAATGTGACCGCACCACAATTGAGGACTGGGTGTTCAGGGCTCCCCACGTGGCCACGTTTCTGAGCGTGGTCATCCACCGAGGCTTCCTCCTCCCGGGCTCGTCCCTCCATCTGGCCACCCTGGTCCCCGAGCGCCGAGTCGACCAGGGACGGGAGTTTGCGAGCGTCCTGGATGTCCTGTCCGTCATCTACATCAACTCCCACCTGCCCAGGGAGCAGAGGCACCACTGGCGCCTGCTGTTCTCATCCGAGCTCCACGGGCACAGCTTCGCCCAGCTCTGCGGGCGCATCACACACTGCGGGCCCTGCGTGGTGCTGCTCGAGGACCACGACGGCCATGTGTTCGGTGGCTTTGCTTCCTGCTCCTGGGAGGTCAAACCTCAGTTCCAAGGTGAGTCTCGGCCACCAAAACCCCACATGGTAGCACCAGTGCTCGTTCCAAGTTCTGGTCAGACGGCTGCTGTGTGGAGACCTCCGAGCCCCGCCAGGGGATGTGCGTGTTTCTTCCATCTCCTCCCGCAGGCGTTTTGCGAGACGTGTTTGGGAGGATAGTGAAACGGGGTGTTTCTTTATGATGGTTTAACTTCATGGATTTCTCTATAGATTCTGGCTGCAGGGTCAGGTGAGCAGGACAGCTGTCCTCACCCCTGGCCTTCAGGTGAGGAAACAGTGGAGCAGCATTAAACGATGCCAGGTCCTGACCGCGGGCGAGGCTGGGCCGTAGGTGCTGCATAGGGGACTGGGAGGTACCGGCTCTTGCAGGTGGGGTGTGTTTTCTCGGAGGACCGTCTTCCTTTCCTGGAACCCCCTGTGTGGGTCTGCTTTGCTGCTTCTGCCCGTAGTTTTTCGGTTTTGTGATTTTGCTGGAGATTGGAAGCTCTTTGCTAGACCTTGAATGCCCTGGATCAAAGGCCCTGATGAAATACTTCCCTTCCTCAAAGAACTACTCTGATAAACGCTCTTAAAGGACTCTTTTTGAAAACGCTCATCTCCTGTCAGTGGGCTGTTCTCGTACTCAGAGGTGAACCTGTCTTCCCGGGATTGATGTCACGGTGTGTCCCCGGGGACCTGCCCCGGGCTGCCCGAGTCTCTGTTCTCAGAAGGTCTCCTGGGGGCCAACAGCTGTGAGATGGAGGCCTTTTCCTAGTGGCTCTGAGCAGCCGGATACAGGCCTGTCCTCACTCCCCTCAGCTAAATGGGGCAGCCTGGCCGACGCAGTTCCGGGGAGAGTCCCTCCCAGTGAGGGGGCGAGGCTAACACCCTCCCTGGCTGGGTCAGTGGAAGGGAGAACCCAGGGTCCTGAGATGCGAAATACGGGGGAGAAAGGCCATGTGCTCCTCTGGGATGGGGGCTGCACATCGTAGCCAGACAGCTGTCAGCTGCATCCACTCTGCCTGCGTCCCCGCTCCCTCTTCTCTCCACCCCACACTCACCTGCATTGCTGCGGGTGCCTTCTGCCTGGCCCTCGCCTCCTGCTCTCACCCGTCCAGTTCATTTGCGACATCCCAGCCCACCTGCCGTGGTGCTTGTGCCCTGGAGACCCTTGGACGGACCCCCCGTGCACTCAGAATGGTGAATCCTTTGTCTCCAGCTTCACGACCTCTCCTGTGCCCTGTGCCCTGGGCTCAGTCTCACTGAATTACCCAGAGTTTCCAGAACAGGCCGCGCTCTCATCTCAGGACTGGCACATGCTGCTTTTTCTCCCTCTTCCACCTGTGCACAGTCAGCTCCTTGTCGGGACTCAGTCCAGGGTCACCTCCTTCAGGAAGCCTTCCCGACCACACGAGTGCCAGCTACTCCCTGCGGTCCTCTACGGGACTGCACGCTTCTGGAATTGTTCCCATCGTCCTTGCACCAGGGCAGCTTCTGCTGGCTGGGGAGCCGTGTCCAGGTGCAGAGGTGCCATTACAGGAGGGGTTTTAGGAGTGGTGGGGTGGCCCTTGTCTGGGGTGGGTGAAAGGGGTCACGGTGTGAAGGCTGGGTGCCTTCATCCCCGAGATCCTGTTGCTTCCAGGGTTTGGTTCTCTCTAGGTTTTAGATTGTTCTAGATCTTTAATCCAGCTGTTGCTACCAGCCCTTCCCCACTGTGTCAGGGTCCCTTAAGACCACCCACATATCAGTGAGTCGCTAGGAGGACTCGGGGACGCAGCACAGCGCTGTCATCACAGCTGATCTATTACAGAGAGAGGATGCAGAGCACGATCAGCTCAGGGGCTGGGTAGGGGTTGGGAGGGTGAAGTCCGGGGAACCAGGCTCCAGCATCCTCTCTAGTGGGTCGCACAGGACGCGCTAAATTCCCCCAGCCGCGAGCTGTGACAGCACGTGTGCAGCGTCGTCCATCAGGGATGCGTTAGAGCTTCAGCGCGCGGGGTCTTTATTCGGGGGACCGTTCGCACGAGCACCCTCTGCCTGACGCGCACCCAAACCCCAGACTCGCAGGAGGACAGCAGGAGTCCGGCACCAACACCCCTGTCTGTACACATGGCCTAGGCACAGGGAGCCGCTCATCAGTCCTGGGAAGGGGGGACCCTCCCCAAATCCACCTTCCCAGACACTGGCTGAGGGCCGACCCTGGAAGGCAGCCCTTCTGGGGACCCCAGTCTCAGGCCTGGGCTTCCACACACCCAGGTCTCTCTGTCACGGTGTCACGGGGAGGGGCTCTGGGGGGGGTGACGGGCTGGGTCTCTGTGTGGTTGGAGATGTGGAAAAACCCTGAGAATCATTATTATAGACGGAACTTCCGCTTCTTCCAGCTCCTTTAGTATCAACTCCAGGTCAGCTCTGCTGCGTCTTCATGTTTTATTAACAAGCAGAATTCATCTTCTTGAAGAAAGGTGGAAAAATGAGATTACCAAGTTTTCAAACTTGAGCTCATTCTGTTCTGAAGCGTGAGGACAGAATGCCAGCAGGGGGCAGCCTAGCATCACAGATTCCAGTCAAGTTCAGGGCGTTCCTGTCCATTTGTCCCGGGAAACAATCACTCCGAGTATTTGAGCCTTGAGATGATGTGACAGCCGCTGGGTCACTTCATTTTCGGCTCTGTCGTCCAGGGGGCAGCTACAGGCCCACAGCTCTGAGCTGAGTCCGGCTCTGTCCTGGGCAAGTTGCTTACCCTCTCTGGGCCTCCGTTCCCCAGAACCACAGGAATGGCAGCTTGTAACCCACTGGGCGATGGGTGGTGGTGTCACTGTGAGAATTGGGTGAGGAGCCCCTCTGTGGAAGTGATGTTTTTACGGGTCTTATGACTCCTTGGTTCTTGCCCTGCACCCTCGAGGGTCATCTTCCCCACGGGGCCCTTCTCCCTGGGCACAGACCCCAGGATGGACTAGAGTGGGGTCCATTGTAGCCAAGGGGCCCACGCTTTGTGGCCCCATCACCTCACTTAGCATCCGGGACCCAGTAAATGTTGGTTGAAAGGCAGCCTTAGGATGGCAAGGCAAAGTGATGCTTAGGCCCAGTGCCCGGGGCCACAGGTGGGACCAGGCAATTCCTTGAGGCTAAACCCAACCTTCTGAGGCACATGAACTCAAGCCGGAGTCTTTAGCCTGGAGGGGAGCCCTGTGCCACCTGGTCCCAGTGACTTCCCCAGGCTCACCTCCCCCTTTCCCCCACCAGGGCTCATACCCTGCACTATAGTCGAGGGCCCTGCTGTTTCCCCCATGCCCTGCCGTGTCCCTGCGGGGTCCCTCCTCCCTGAGTGGCTCTCACCCAACCGTCTCCACCTCAGGACGTCCTTCCCGACTTTGGGGGAGCTAAGTCCCCGCAGAGGCCCGAGCGTCACTGGTCCTGACTCGGCAGGTCCAGGCCCATCTGTGGCCGAGGGCTGTCCTCCCCAAGGCCCCTCTGGGGCTCAAAGCCCCCTTCCTGTCCGCCCTCCACATTCGGGCTCCCTGGAGCTTCCTGGAGCTTCCTTCCCACCTGACGAATGGCCCGACCCCCAAGTACCTGAGCTCGGTCCTGTGTCAGGTGCCCTCACGCTGTCACCGTCGAGGGGCGTTCCTTCCGGCCAAGGTCTCACAGCTGTGGGGAGCATCTCTGGTCTGGCTCTGGCCTAGCCGGGAGTTCCCTTGGTGAGGTGCAGCCTCCGTCCCCTCCCTAGTGAGTGCGTCGGGGAGGGCAGGAGTCTCTGAGATGGAGGGTGCTGTTCATTTCCAGGATTTTGACCGGTACCTTCTCTGAGTGGTGGCATGCCCACTCCTGTGCCCGGGCAAAGGTAGAGGGTCCCCTTTCCCTGCGTGTCCCCGCCCCTCCCTGTGGGCAGCCGTGTCTACAGGTACCCTGCCTTCTCCGCTCTGCGTGATGTGCCTGCTTGAGGCCACGTGAGTGCCCAGCCAATACGTGGAGTGGCCGCCTGCCCCTTGCTCCTTAGTTGAGACGAGGCTGCTCTTGCTGACTCTGGGGCGGTGCGGCAGGGCTCCCATCTCCCCGGGAGAGCGCTAACAGGTGTTCCCAGCAAGCAGTTGTCACATTCCTTTGTAACGGTCACTCTCAGCCTGCACCCGCAGCTCATCCTACGGTCCCGGGCTCCGCCCGCTGGCCGGCCGGCCCTGCCCCCAATGCACAGGAGCCCCGCGCACGCCGAGGACCCGAGGGGAGCCCTTCCTGCTCAGCCATCCGAGCCACGGCCCATTTCCGTTTCCTGCTTCTCCCCGTGCCCAGCGCCGATGGCTGACCTTGCTGCTTTTTGCTCTGATCGATTTCAGGGGATGACAGGTGCTTCCTGTTCTCCATCTCCCCCAGCATGGCCGTGTACACCTCCACGGGCTACAATGACCACTACATGTACCTGAATCAAGGGCAGCAGACCATCCCGAATGGACTGGTAAGGACTTGGGCGGGCAGGGCACGTCCCCCCCGTGGTGATGCACTGACCCCGACGTGCCCGGGGACGCTCCGCCCTGCGTCAGGGCAGCCGTACACGCTCAGTTCGTTCTGTCCGAGTCTCAGGGTGGTGATGCGATGAGCGACAACGAGGACAGAATTTCTCTCGTGGAAAAAAGGGGCCTCTATTGGGGCATTTCCGAGGTTTGTGTGCAAATAACAGAGTCGGCCAGTGTTCCTGGCCATCAGGTGGTTGGTCTGTGGCCTTCGTGGCTGGAGATACTGCCCTGCCTGGGGCAGCACCCGGGCGCGGGGCCGGGGCTGGGCTCCCCAGACCCTTTGGACCCACGGCGGGTTGTCTGCTCTGTGCTCCAGCTGGGACTCAGCCACAGGAAAAAGAGGACGTGGGGGAAGGCGGGGGGCGGTGGTGGGGACGGGCGCCCGCACAGATGCTTAGCTTGGGTGAGAAATGCGTGTCCTGGCAGCACCAGCCTATTTCTTTCCCCTGCTTCTTAAAAAGCCCCTCTCGGGAAATTCCAGCCCTGTCTCTGCAAAGCCAAGGGCCGGGGGGGCTGGTCCATCTTGTCGGTGTGGAGAGGGCCCCGTGCTCCTTCCCAGGCTCACTCTGAGGCTCCCACAGGGCCACCTGATGACCCCGGACGCCTTTCAGAAAGGACAGTTTGGGGCTTCCCTGGTGGCGCAGTGGTTGAGAGTCTGCCTGCTGATGCATGGGACACGGGTTCGTGCCCCGGTCCGGGAGGATCCCACATGCCGCGGAGCGTCTGGGCCCGTGAGCCATGGCCGCTGAGCCTGCGTGTCTGGAGCCTGTGCTCTGCAATGGGAGAGGCTGCTGCAGTGAGAGGCCCGCGTACCGCAAAAAAAAAAGATAGGACAGTTTGGTGATGACAGGGACGAGGGCCTTGGCCTCAGGAGCAGCACCCAGTGGGTCTCGGTGGTGGTCAGTAATCGGCCCGAGGGGAGAAGCAGCCCCGAGGTTAGCTGCGTTTCCTGCCCTGGTCTCTTGCTCAGCGTTCGCTCCAGGCTCCCCGGGCTGGGCGGGGAGGCACTGGTGGAGAGGGAAAGGGATCAGAGAGGTTGAACAGCAGTCTGTTCCCACCGGCCGCTGGCTCAGAGCCCGCCGTGTGCCGAGTGGTTCCCGCCTTCCCGGGGCTGCCTCCTCCTTTCCCTCCCTGCTGTGCTGAGTGAACGACCTGCCTGCTTGAGCACCGGGTCCTGGGCCGGGTACGGATCGGCATCCCTGTCCGGGAAGTGCTGTGTAGACCTCTCGCCTTATTTTACCGATTGGCGTCTCTAGGCCTGAGGGCCTCTGTTCTTTTCTCCTCTCTTGTCCCTTGTGTTTCCTGCCAGTGCAGCCCCGTGAGAAAGGGCCATGGGGTAAGAGTCAGGACACCTTGATGAGTGTTCTAAGAACTTGTCATGGGTTACTTAAATTGTATCAATCTGTGAATATATATTTCACAGTTAAAAAAAAAAGAAAGAAAGGAAGAAGATTGCGTTCACTTCTCATACGCCCCGGTGGCATGACGGCTGGGGTGGGCTTCAGGTGTCCGGTGCTCCAGACCGAGGCGGTGCTATGCCCCTCCCTCCGCAGGGCATGGGAGGGCAGCACAATTATTTTGGCCTGTGGATCGATGTCGATTTCGGGAAGGGACACAGCAAGGCCAAGCCCACATGTACCACGTACAACAGCCCTCAGCTCTCAGCCCAGGAGGACTTCCGGTTCGAGAAGATGGAGGTGTGGGCGGTGGGAGATGCTTCGGTGACACAGCTGGTGAGCCTGGGGGCGTTTCTCCCCTTTCTCGGCTTTGTCCCTTTTACTCCTCCATCTGGAGATGGTTTATTCCAGTTTGTTTCCAGCAGCCGTTGCTGGCCAGAGGGATGCCAGTGGGTGGAAGTTTAGTAGAAAGAACCACCCCAGGGAGGTGGGATCCCGGGGGGGTGGGGACTTGTCTGCAAGATGAGGAGGGTCTGGGGTTCCTTCTAGTTCCAGGGTTTGACGATGAGTCGCCGTTGGGGCCCCTGCGTCTTGTCACCTCCCAGCGATGGCATCCCGGGGCGGGGGCACTCAGTGGGGCTCGGGGGAGAGCCTCTACCACATTTCCCTTGTGGCGACAGTAGGAAATTCCCCTCTGATAAACTTGACAGCAGCAGGACGTCACTGCCTGGTTTTGGTCACTGAACACACCCATCCTTCCCTTCTTCCCAAGGCCAAGAACACCAAGAGCGTTCTGGACGTGGACCCTACGGCCCAGGCCCTGCTGGAAGTCAGTGGGCGGATTCGCCACAGCGAAGGGCTCCGGGAGGTGCCTGAGGACCAGTGAGGCGGAGCCCCCAGCACAGGCCTTCCTGGAGCTGGAGCACAGCCTGCAGACTGTGTTTACTTTAATCCAGAGCGTGCTGGTCACGTCTAGGTGGTCCTGGAGGTGCCTAATTGAAACAGAGTACAGTTCCTCTGATGCTATATATCAATGGTGGGTGTGTCTCCCCCGAACTATGTCCAATTACCAGCTTGATTCTTGGACTTTGCTCATTTTGTACAGATGAAATCCAAAGACGATGCTGAGACGTTTGAGGCCGACTGGAATTAGCAGTGGTTGGGGATTTGAGTTCTTGCTGGAGGGGAGGGGGGGTCCACTCACTGAGGGTCACTTGGCCTCTGCACAGGCCTCCCAGTTAAAAGCCTCGATGTCCCATTTCTACTGGTAAAGGGCAGAGGTGCTCAGATGGGAATCTCAACCCTTTGGGGAACAGCTTCCTCTGACATGGAATTTTTGTATTTCGGAAAAAAAAAAAAAAAGCACAGGAGTGTACTAACGGGGGTAACAGCTGGAGATTTTGAAGATAACGGTGATATGGGTCTTCAGTAAGGTTCAGTATCTGCCTTTCTCAGCTGTTTTTAACACATTACTGACCAGAGACGTATTAATACGTCTTTTGTTAACCAAACATCATTGACCAGAGACGTTTCGGTATTCATTTACCTAACAAATCGCCGTCCACAGGCGTTAGTTTCTGCAAAAATCCCCCGGTCAGTGATGAGTTAAGTGAGTCTGTGCTATGAGCAAATGGGAAAACCAGGAGGTCTACAGAGAAGCAAAGTTGTGGTTCTCTTACTAATTTAAACGTGGGGCCATTCGGGGCCCTGAGGCTAAGATTCCTGTTAATACACGTATGGCCTGTCGCAGGAATTAGTGGTGAGTAACTAGACTGACCCGGGCTCCTGACCTCCCAGCATCACCCCCACCCCGTGCTGCTTCCCGAGGGGACGTTGGGTACTTTGACAGCATGGACTTGCTTTAAACGAACAGTGATCCTGAAGTGCTAGCAAAGATGTTGGTGGGCTGGACCTCAGGCAGAGCTGCCGTGTCCCTTCCAGTCCCTGCATCCCTCGGAGGCGGCCTGAAGAATCTCCGGACACTGAGAATCCCGCTCAGCGGAGCTTTGCCCTTTGCTACCCATTGCCCTTCTGCAGATCTGACGAGATGCTGCCTTGTTATTGAGTTGCCCCCGATTATAAGCCATAGTAAACCGAGCTGTTTGCATTTCACAGGCTCTGCATTTTCCACCGGGAGGCTCGTCAAACTGCGCTGAGCCGAGCAGAAGGCCTTGCACATGGGCCTTCGGAAGAGAGGTGCTCAGACGGTGACATGCACGCTCGGTCATGATTGATTTTCCTTATAAAAAGCCAGTTTTTAATAGCTTCTCAGGTACATTTTGTGACTTCTTAATTGATGGGAAGCAGATGCAGGATATTAGGATCCTCAGATATCCTTACCGTAATCTGAAGAATTAGGCCCCGAGTCTTCAGTGTGTTACAGAATATTTTTTTAGAAAAATGCAATGAAATAATGCCTCGCTAATAAAAGGTCCGTTGAAGACCACTTCCTACGGCCTCTGTCTGTGGCTGTCAGAGAGGCTGGATGTGTCTGCCGGCCTGTTTTCTGCCTTGTGCCTCTTCTAACAAGAGTGCAGGTCATACCTGGGGGCCTGACGGTTTCCTAAGACAGCACACCTCCTCGAGGGAAGCTGGGCGCCCAGCCCAGGCGCTTGGTCACCTGGGGTGTTCGGCCCTCGCAGGGGGTGTGGGGCAGCCGTGTGATTCCCCAGCACGCGTCGTCCCGAGCACACAGACCAGTTTGGTGTCAGCTGTGCCCGGGGCCACAGGACCCGAGGAACCACGCTCCTCCTGGGCCTGAGAAACCCGTGATGCTAGTTTTAACATGTGATGAGTTTGTTCTTTGATAAAATGGGAATAAGAATTCAGGTTGTAAGGACTAGCGGTCTCCCTGGAGGTGAAGACTCATAAGGGCCCCTGATAGGCGCTGGAAGGAAGGGGTGAAAAAACGCTGTTCATGGTACAGCATGGCTGTTGTTACTTTTTTCCCCCACCATATTTTTTTCTGGAAATTTTTTTCTTTTATTGAATGAAAGAGTCTTTAAATTCTCCAGTGCTTTACAATTTTAAAAGGTTTCACACACGTGGTCTTATATAATCCCATAATCCCCCCCCCATATCGCCCCTCCCCACTGGTAACCACTAGCTTGGTCTCTGTATTTGTGAGTCTGCTTCTTTTTTGTTTTATTCACTAGTTTGTTGTATTTTTTAGATTTCACATATAAGTGATATCAGACAGGATTTGTCTTTCTCTGACTTACTTCATTTAGCATAATGCCCTCCAAGTCCATCCATGTTGCTGCAAATGGCAAAATTTCATTCTTTTTTATGGCTGAGTAATATTCCATTATATGTATGTACACACACACCACATACTCGTATGTATGTATATATATGCACACCACATATTTATCCATTCATCTGTTGATAGACACACCATATTTTTTTTTAATTAAAAAATTAGCTTATGCATACACAGCAAAAAAGGTCAAAATACAAAAGGATGTAACTTGAAAGCTAAATCTTCCTCCTGACTCCGCTCTAGCATTTTGTTCCCAAGAGGTAATGTGTTGTACACACTGGTGTGTCCCTCACCTTTTTTTGGGTGGAAATTGCTCTGTGTCTACCCATTTATTCTCATTGTCTATGTAATGTCCCATGAGATGGATGCCCCATCCTTTCTGGTGGTCAGCCATCCCCGGCTGGGGAACGGTCTGTTTGTAGCTAATTGTTATTTGAATGAATATCGTTTATATACATCTTGGTGTGGTTTTGTCTGGCAAATAAACTCTTTGAAGCTGAATTGCTGGATCAAAAGGTACATGCTTTTTTATTTAGGTATTAACAAATGAACCTCTTTCAAGCTAGATTTTTACTTTTGAGACCTGGCATGCCTGTTTGCCATGTTTTCACCAATACTATATTAAAATTTAGTTTTTGTTTACCGGATGCTTGAAAACTAATTTTTTTTTTCTCTTATGAATGACAGTGAAGAGCTTCATTTTTCAAGAATGGTGTGTGTCCTATCCCTCACCTGGTTTCCTAGGGTGTGGGTGTTATTGGTTTGCAAAAGTGCTCTTTTTTAAAAAAAAAAAAAATTAATTATTTATTTTTTTATTTTTGGCTGCGTTGGGTCTTCATTGCTGCACGCTCAGGCTTTCTCTAGTTGTGGCGAGCGAGGGCTACTCTTCGTTGCAGTGGCTTCTCTTGTTGTGGAGCATGGGCTCTAGAGGTGTGGGCTTCAGTAGCTGTGGCACGCGGGCTGTGTAGTTGTGGCTCGTGGGCTCTAGAGCACAGGCTCAGTAGTTGTGGCGCACGGGCTTAGTTGCCCCGCGGTATGTGGGATCTTCCCAGACCGGGGATCGAACCTGTGTCCCCTGCATTGGCAGGCAGATTCTTAACCACTGCGCCACCAGGGAATTCCAAGAGTGCTCTTTTGAATTAAGCAAAATGGCATTGGCCGCATGTGGTGAATGTTTTTTCCAGTTTGTCTGCCTTTATTTTTCCATACATAAATTTTGCATTTGATGTCATCATATTTCCCAGCTTCTGAGATGTGTGGTTTGCTTAGGAAGTTTTTCTCCACTCTGAGATTAAACAAAAAGAAATACCGTGTTTTCTTCTACTACTACTGTGCTTTCCACTTATACTTCTGAATCTTTGATCCATTCAAAATGTATTTTAATTTTTTATTTGTTTTTTTGATTCTCTTTAAAAATTTTTTTATTTTATATTGAACTGTAGTTGATTTACAATGTTGTATTAGTTTCAGGTGTGCAGCAAAGTGATTCGGTTATACATATATCTGTTCTTTTCCAACTTCTTTTCACATTTATGTTATTATAGAATATTGAGTAGCGTTCCCTGTGCTGTATAGTAGGTCCTTGTTGGTTATCTATTTTACATATAGTAGTGTGTACATGTCAATCCTAAACTTCCAGTTTATCCCCCCATTGCCTTTCCCCTTTGGCAACCATAAGTTTGTTTTCAAAGTCTGTGAGTCTGTTTCTGTTTTGTAAATAAATTCATTGGTATCATTTTTTAAAGATTCCTCATATAAGTGATATCATATGATATTTGTCTTTCTCTGTCTGGCTTACTTCACTTAGTATGATAGTCTCCAGGTCCATCCATGTTGCTCCAAATGACATTATTTCATTTTTTTAATGGCTGAGTAATATTCCATTGTATATATATACCACGTTCTTTATCCATTCTTCTGTCGATGGACACTTAGGTTGCTTCCATGTCTTGGCTTCTGTAAATAGTGCTGCAATGAACATTGGAACTATGGTTTATAGCTTCCGAACTATGGTTTTCCCCAATGTATGCCCAGTAGTGGGATTGTTGGATCATATAGCAAGTCTATTTTTAGTGTTTTAAGGAACCTCCATACTGTTCTCCATAGTGGCTCTACCAGTTTACATTCCCACCAACAGTGTAGGAAGGTTCCCTTTTCTCCACACCCTCTCCAGCATTTATTGTTCGTAGGCTTTTTGATCATGGCCATTCTGACCTGTGTGAGGTGTTACCTCATTGTAGTTTTGATTTGCATCTCTCTAATAATTAGCGATGTTGAGCATCTTTTCATGTGCCTGTTGGCCATTTGTACGTCTTCTTTGGAGAAATGTCTGTTTAGGTCTTCTGCCCATTTTTTGATTGGGTTGTTCGTGTTTTTGATATTGAGCTTCATGAGCTGTTTGTGTTTTGGAGATAAAGCCCTTGTCGGTTGCTTCGTTTGCAAATGTTTTTTCCCATTCTGTGGGTTGTCTTTTCATTTTGTTTATGGTTTCCTTTGCTGTGCAAAAGCTTTTGAGTTTAATTAGGTCCCATTTGTTTATTTTTGTTTTTATTTCTGTTACTCTAGGAGACAGATCACAAAAGATATTGCTGCGATTTATGTCAAAGAGTGTCCTGCCTATGTTTTCCTCTAAGAGTTTTATAGTATCTGGTATTACATTTAGGTCTTTAACTCATTTTGAGTTTATTTTTGTGTATGGTGTTAGAGAATGTTCTAATTTCATTCTTTCACATGTAGCTGTCCAGTTTTCCCAGCACCACTTGTTGAAGAGACTCTCTTTTCTCCATTGTATAGTCTTGCCTCCTTTGTCATAGATTAATTCACCGTAGATGCGTGGGCTTTCTATCCTGTTCCATTGATTCCATTTCTGTTTTTTTGTGCCAGTACCATACTGTTTTGATTACTGTAGCTTTGAAGTATAGTCTGAAGTCATGGGGCCTGATTCCTCCAGTTCTGTTTTTCTTTCTCAAGATTGCTTTGGCTCAAACTGTATTTTAAAATATACCTCTATCTTACCCCCAAATAAATTCCAGTACATTTTATATTAAACTGTGTGTCTCTTTCCCACTGACTTAAAATGCTACTTTCTCACTGAAGGTTTCTGTCTCATGTTTTAATTATCAGAGTTTTGTGATAAAAAGATGTAAGAGCTGGGCTTCGCTGGTGGTGCAGTGGTTGAGAGTCTGCCTGCCGATTCAGGTGACATGGGTTCGTGCCCCATTTCCGGGAAGATCCCACATGCCGCTGAGCAGCTGGGCCCGTGAGCCATGGCCACTGAGCCTGCGCGTACGGAGCCTGTGCTCCGCAAAGGGAGAGGCCACAACAGTGA